TGGGGGTGTCCAGTAAGGATGCAGCCACCTCAACTTTCTGAAACAGTGTAAAGCCTCATATCCTACTTAACTGCTCTGTGTAATGGTTTTGCACAGAGCAGCCCCAGTCCTCTTCTTCTCGGGTCTTTGGAACTCCTGGTTCCTCCCCCTTGCCAAATGCCCCTATAACAAGTTGCTTGCTCTGGGGGCACTTGTGGTTACTCGCTCCTGAGAGAGCTCTGTGTGTCCATAAGACACGCAGAGTGCAGCTCAATCCCCCCGCTCCCTCCTCATTGGCTGTGATTGACAGCTGCATTGTCGTACACACAGAGGCAGGACAAAAACAGGTAAATATGAAGTCACAAGGATATAGGTAAGTATTAGATTGTTTATTTCCCCCCTATTATTGTTAACATGTTTATGGTGGGGGTCCTCTTTAAATGCAATGTATGGGTTAATGTACTAAAAGAACAGAGTTTGTGAACCTGGGTTTATATTGAATACTAAATTATGTGTGAGGGCACTATTCCTCCCACTGACACCAATGATGGGGCACTATTCCTTCCACTGACACCAATGATGGGCACTATTCGTCCCACTGACACCAATGATGGGGCACTATTCCTCCCACTGACACCAATGATGGGGCACTATTCCTTCCACTGACACCAATGATGGAGCACTATTCGTCCCACTGACACCAATGATGGGACACTATTCCTCCCACTGACACCAATGATGGGGCACTATTCCTTCCACTGACACCAATGATGAAGCACTATTCGTCCCACTGACACCAATGATGGGGCACTATTCCTCCTATTGACACCAATGATGGGACACTATTCCTCCCACTGACACCAATGATGGGGCACTATTCCTTCCACTGACACCAATGATGGAGCACTATTCGTCCCACTGACACCAATGATGGGGCACTATTCCTCCCACTGATACCAATGATGGGGCACTATTCCTCCCACTGACACCCAATGATGGGGCACTATTCCTCCCACTGATACCAATGATGGGGCACTATTCCTCCCACTGACACCAATGATGGGGCACTATTCCTCCCACTGATACCAATGATGGGGCACTATTCCCCCCACTGACACCAATGATGGGGCACTATTCCTCCCACTGACACCAATGATGGGGCACTATTCCTCCCACTTACACCAATGATGGGACACTATTCCTCCCACTGATACCAATGATGGGGCACTATTCCTCTCACTGACACCAATGATGGGGCACTATTCCTCCCACTGACACCAATGATGGGGCACTATTCCTCCCACTGACACCAATGATGGGACACTATTCCTCCCACTGATACCAATGATGGGGCACTATTCCTCTCACTGACACCAATGATGGGGCACTATTCCTCCCACTGACACCAATCATGGGACACTATTCCTCCAATTAATACCAGTGATGGGGTTCTATTCCTCCCACTACAGTGTGGCAAAAAAGTATTTATTCAGCCACCAATTGTGCAAGTTCTCCCACTTACAAAGATGAGAGAGGCCTGTAATTGGCATCATAGGGAGACCTCAACTATGAGAGACAAAATGAGAAAACAAATCCAGACAATCACATTGGCTGATTTGGAAAGAATTTATTTGCAAATTATGGTGGAAAATAAGTATTTGGTCACCTACAAACAAGCAAGATTTCTGCTCTCACAGACCTGGACCTTCTTCTTTAAGAGGCTCCTCTGTCCTGCACTCATTACCTGTATCAATGGCACCTGTTTGAACTTGTTATCAGTATAAAAGACACCTGTCCACAACCTCAAACAGTCACACTCCAAACTCCACTATGGTGAAGACAAAGAGCTGTCGAAGGACACCAGAAACAAATTGTAGACCTGCACCAGGCTGGGAAGACTGAATCTGCAATAGGCAAGCAGCTTGGTGTGAACAAATCAACTGTGGGAGCAATAATTAGAAAATGGAAGACATACAAGACCACTGATAATCTCCCTCGATCTGGGGCTCCACGCAAGATCTCACCCCGTGGGGTCAAAATGATCACAAGAACGGTGAGCAAACATCCCAGGACCACACGGGGGGACCTAGTGAATGACCTGCAGAGAGCTGGGACCAACGTAACAAAGGCTACCATCAGTAACACACTACGCCACCAAGGACTCAGATCCTGCAGTGCCAGACGTGTCCCCCTGCTTAAGCCAGTACATGTCCGGGCCCGTCTGAAGTTTGCTAGAGAGCATTTGGATGATCCAGAAGAGGATTGGGAGAATGTCATATGGTCAGATGAAACCAAAATAGAACTGTTTGGTAGAAACACAACTCGTCGTGTTTGGAGAAGAGAGAATGCTGAGTTGCATCCAAAGAACACCATACCTACTGTGAAGCATGGGGGTGGGCAACATCATGCTTTGGGGCTGTTTCTCCACAAAGGGACCAGGACGACTGATCCATGTACAGGACAGAAAGAATGGGGCCATGTATCGTGAGATTTTGAGTGCAAACCTCCTTCCATCAGCAAGGGCATTGAAGATGAAACGTGGCTGGGTCTTCCAACGTGACAATGATCCCAAACATACCGCCCGGGCAACGAAGGAGTGGCTTCGTAAGAAGCATTTCAAGGTCCTGGAGTGGCCTAGCCAGTCTCCAGATCTCAACCCCATAGAAAACCTTTGGAGGGAGTCCGTGTTGCCCAGCGACAGCCCCAAAACATCACTGCTCTAGAGGAGATCTGCATGGAGGATGGGCCAACATACCAGCAACAGTGTGTGCCAACCTTGTGAGGACTTCCAGGAAACGTCTGACCTCTGTCATTGCCAACAAAGGATATATAACAAAGTATTGACATGATCACTTTTCATATTCACCAAATACTTATTTTCCACCATAATTTGCAAATAAATTCTTTCCAGATCAGCCAATGTGATTGTCTGGATTTTTTTTCTCATTTTGTCTCTCATAGTTGAGGTCTACCTATGATGCCAATTACAGGCCTCTCTCATCTTTGTAAGTGGGAGAACTTGCACAATTGGTGGCTGATACCAATGATGGGGCACTATTCCTCCCACTGACACCAATGGTGGGGCACTATTCCTCCCACTGACACCAATGGTGGGGCACTATTCCTCCTTCCACTGACTACAAGCACTATGTCTTTTTTTTTTACTCCTACTGCTGGGGCATTTTCTACTCCCACTGGACCCTCCTAAAGTCTGAAGGACAGTAAACTGGTCCCTTTGTTTAGAAACGTTTGGAGACCTTTGCTCTAGATCAACTGTGGGTATAGGATTATAACATTTTTGTTTATGGTGGAACTAGATGATCGTTTGCCTTTTTGTCAGCCAGACTAACTATGTTCCTAAAGGTGAACTTGTCCTTTAATTACTAATTACCATAAACCTTCTGTTTGCTAAGTGAACAGCCCAAAAACACTGAAATGTGAAATATAGCGCCAAGTTCGCACATCACTGAGCTCAGTCGCAGAATCGTTTTCAGCGTCTGATGAGGAATTTCCCCCACCAATCATTATCACTCAATTCTGCAAGTGGTTCTGATTTACTATCGCTGTTCTCTAGCCGGTCTAAAACCGTGTCTGACCTAAAGGGACGCTTTTTGGACGCCATGAACGTTTCTCAGTTTCCAGGCAGAAAGAACAGTAAAAATGCAGGCAGGGCGCCGGACAAAGCACTCGGGACAAAATGTATGTGAAATGGTTTGATACAGGAATGTTATACTATGTGATATTAGTGTATTAAGTGAATGTCACTTTTAGAATTTTCAAATTTCCCGCCAGTTCCGTCCCCCATATGTCCCGACGTCGCAGGGAACGGAACCCGGAAGAGAGATGCCGGCATCGGCCGGAGGACATTGCCGGGGACACTGCAGGGGGGACATCGCGGGAGCGCAGGACAAGGTAAGTGCAAGAACAGATCCCGGAGCAACGCCACTTGTGGTGCTGAAACTTTACCCCGAGCTACACTCAGGAATACCGCCAGGGGGGTTAAGATTTGACAACAAAACCTGGAAGCTGATTGGTTTCTGTGCAGAGCTGCACCATATTTTGCACTCTCCAGGTTTAGTAAATGACCCCCACTGTGTGGCTTGGCTTTTTCTTCGGATCTTTTATTATGGGAGGTCTGTCAGTGTCGCACGACAGGGTCACTTTAAATCTACGCATTGTCAAGTGTTTGCGTATGTTGTTTTCTCCGGAAGAAATTGAAAGCTTTATTACATATCATTTTACGAGAGGAATTGAGAGGTTTTATGTTCCCATTTAGATATACTACTTGCACTGTAATGCACAGCTCCGGGGCGTTTTTTTTTGGAATCTCGGAGATTGATAAGCAGACTTGAAGAGGGGAGCCGAGACAAAATGTTTTAGGTTTTTCGCATGTTGAAGTCTGTTGTGTTGCTGTATGAAAAAAGGCAAAGTGCAAGGTGTCTGCGTGAATGTGTTATAATGTACCAACAACCCGGGTTATGAAACATTGCAGTTCAGCAACAATAAAATAGATGGATGCAGTTTTTACTTACAGGTGTTACTAAACCCCCAACAGTACAATCAGTATGTAGATGCCGTAAAACGTGCTTGTTATACTCACTGTGGAACCGAAGGGGTTAATCCTCTGCATTGTGGTAAAAGGATGTTTGATCCTGTCTTCTCTGATCCTCCCCTTCTTTTATTGTCCCCAATCCATCTGTTGATAGAACAGAGCCTTGGAGGCAAGCTGCACATGCTCTGTTTGGTGTGTATTGCTAGAGAGTTTTTTTTTTTTTTTTTGGTAGAGTGCATGTGATCAGCACAGGGCCATGCGTCGCAGGACAATAAGGGGAGAATGAAAACTCCTACAACAAGCTTTAACCAGTGCTCTGCTGGACAGTGATAGAAATCACAAGACTGCTCTATACTGCTGATGGGAAAAGGGATTTAGCAGTTTTATTTACTAAAATAATTGCATTTCCATGTTCTGTGTACTGTGGGAGAGCGGATATAGTGAATTCGGGGTCCGGGGAGAGCGGATATAGTGAATGCGGGGTCCGGGGAGAGCGGATATAGTGAATGCGGGGTCCGGGGAGAGCGGATATAGTGAATGCAGGATCCGGGGAGAGCGGATATAGTGAATGCGGGGTCCGGGGAGAGCGGATATAGTGAATGCAGGATCCGGGGAGAGCGGATATAGTGAATGCAGGGCCCCGGGGAGAGCGATATAGTGAATGCGGGGTCCGTGGAGAGCAGATATAGTGAAAGCAGGGTCCGGGGAGAGCAGATATAGTGAAAGCAGGGTCCGGGGAGAGCAGATATAGTGAATGCGGGGGTCCGGGGAGAGCAGATATAGTGAATGCGGAGTCCGGGGAGAGCGGATATAGTGAATGCGGGGTCCGGGGAGAGCGGATATAGTGAATGCGGAGTCCGGGGAGAGCGGATATAGTGAATGCGGAGTCCGGGGAGAGCGGATATAGGGAATGCGGGGTCCTGGGAGAGCGGATATAGGGAATGCGGGGTCCTGGGAGAGCGGATATAGTGAATGCAGGGTCCTGGGAGAGCGGATATAGTGAATGCAGGGTCCGGGGAGAGCGGATATAGTGAATGCGGGGTCCGGGGAGAGCGGATATAGTGAATGCGGGGTCTGAGGAGAGAGGATATAGGGAATGTGGGGTCCTGGGAGAGCGGATATAGTGAATGCAGGGTCCGGGGAGACCAGATATAGTGAATGCAGGGTCCGGGCAGACCAGATATAGGGAATACAGGGTCCGGGGCAAGCAGATATAGTAAATGCAGGGTCCAGGAAGAGCGGATATAGTGAATGCAGGGTCCGGGGAGACGGGATATAGTGAATGCAGGGTCCGGGGAGACCGAGATAGAGAATGCGGGGTCCGGGGAGAGCGGATATAGTGAATGCAGGGTTCGGGGAGACCGGATATAGAGAATGCACTGTCCAAGGAGAGCGGATATAGTGAATGCAGGGTCCGGGGAGAGTGGATATAGTGAATGCAGGGTCTGGGGAGAGCGGATGTAGTGAGTGCAGGGGGTCCGGGGAGAGTGGATATAGTGAATGCAGGGTCTGGGGAGAGCGGATGTAGTGAGTGCAGGGTCCGGGGAGAGTGGATATAGTGAATGCGGGGTTCGGGGAGAGGATATAGTGAATGCGGGGTCCGGGGAGAGCGGATATAGTGAATGCAGGGTCCGGGGAGAGCGGATGTAGTGAGTGCGGGGTCCGGGGAGAGTGGATATAGTGAATGCGGGGTTCGGGGAGAGGATATAGTGAATGCGGGGTCCGGGGAGAGCGGATATAGTGAATGCGGGGTCCGGGGAGAGCGGATATAGTGAATGCGGGGTCCGGGGAGAGCGGATATAGTGAATGCGGGGTCTGGAGAGAGCGGATATAGTGAATGCAGGGTCCGGGGAGAGCGGATATAGTGAATGCAGGATCTGGGGAGAGCGGATATAGTGAATGCAGGGTCGGGGAGAGCGGATATAGTGAATGCAGGGTTCAGGGAGAGCGGATATAGTGAATGCGGGGTCCGAGAAGAGCGGATATAGTGAAAGTGGGGTCCGGGGCGAGCGGATACAGTGAATGCGGGGTCCGGGGAGAGCGGATATAGTGAATGCGGGGTCCGGGGAGAGCGGATATAGTGAATGCGGGGTCCGGGGAGAGCGGATATAGTGATTGCAGGGTCCGGGGAGAGCGGATATTGTGAATTCGGGGTTTAGTAACCGTTTTTAAAGTGATACTAAACACTGTTTAATTTTTTATATCTCCCTTCTTTTTCTGTATATGGGTGATGGCACTGCAATTATTTTAATGTAAAAAAAAAAAATCTAAGTACACTTTTCCCTAATCGATATACAGCTGTCACATGACCCAGCTCTTTCTCAGCCTGTCTGCAGGGAAACAGTGGCAGACGGAGTGTCTAGTCCTCTGCTGCTGGTCACATGTTCAAAGCAAAAAAGCAGCCTTTGGGATACAGAGCAAAAATAAATAAATAATATCAATAAACTGTTTTAAATCATCATACAAATATATATTTGAAATCACATCTTTATTATTTTTGGCAATACCATGGTGTGGAGGGAGGGGATTACTGCCAGTCACAATCTATGTCATGCCCCTCCAACCTTTGTCTTAGAATATCAGCGAGGTGAAGCCTCTATCAATCAGGACCTGGGGCGAACTGACCATTTGGAAACTTGGGCACTGCACGAGGGCCCGGAGTCAGTAGGGGGCCCCATGAGATGCCCCTCGTACCTTTTTCATAGGCTTTTTTGAGTTTGGGCGAGGACACAGGGGCCCCATGATCCCCTATTGCCCGGGGGTCCCCATGAGTTGTCAGTCTGCCCCTAATCAGGACGTAATATCCCACCCCCATTGTGTTTGGGCTGGTTTGTAGGCATGACGGAGGATGGAAGTGGGCTGTCATTTACCACTGTGTATACTTCCATATGTATGACTCTATAGTCACATGGGCTGCTCAGATGTGATCGGGAGGAAATGATCAGCATAGAAACTTACTGAAAACTGAGCATGTGCAGTAGCTGCCACCACTGCTGTGCAGAATCCCCAACTGCAGTGGGGACATGGACCGAAGAGGGAAATGGAGAAAAGCAGGATCAACCAGGGTTTTAGCAGAATACAGAAAACGAATCCCATAGTGACTGAGTATTCATTGATAGTTTTTTTAGGATGTGGTTTTAATAATACTTTAACCTCATAACATGACATCTCTAGGACCTTCGCGGTCTCCAGATAGTGTTTTATGATCTGCTTGTGCCTCCTAAAGCTCAACTCCAGAAAAAAAATGAAATTTAAAAGCGCCTTGTGCATCAGTTAGTTTACTCCTCAATCTTGATTCCAACACCTCTCCCTGAGTCTTCTTAAGTTGGGTTCAAGTCACAGCTTTCACTATGAACAAAGCTAATCTCCTGCCCTGAAGAACGGACATTTTCCTGCTCGTCCCCTGTCAGCCTGGTCCCCTCGCCACCTCTGGGAGTTCTGCCTACGAGAAAGGACTTGGACGTTGGAAGTTTGGCCTCCACCATTAGGACGTGTACACATCTAGTAGGCAGAAATACCAGACACAAATGAATTAAACTATTCAATAAAGGATAACTAAACCCAAAAACAAAAATGTAATATATTGCAGATTACAGTCCTTAATCGCTTAACCACTTCCCCGACCGGTCGTTGTATATAAAACGGCCGGACAGTGGCAGTGCAGGGTCGGGTGGCTGTTTGTAAACGGCCTCCTCGCAACCTGCTTGTGCGCGCTCCCTCGGAGCACGCAGCACCGCGATCCGGTGTCCGCTGTGTCCTCCGGACACAGTGAAACACTGATCGTCGGACGGGACCTCTGTACGAGGTCCCGATCATGTGATCACTGAATGGCCAATCAGTGATCACATGCAAAGTAGTAAGCAAGATGTCACTTGTGACATCATTGCTTACTACGTGTGAAATCTGTGAATGATCACAGAGGTCACATGGTACAAGGCTACTCACAACAGCCTTGTACCATGTGACAAGCTGTGACCAATCACAGCTCACTAAGTACTTCTCAATGAGTGCAAGAATGCAGACAGAGAGAAAGAGAAATGATTGCTTTTACATCCTATATGGATGTAAAAGCAATCAGTGTAAAAAAAAAAAAAAAAAAAAATCATCACCCCCCACAAGTAGTACAGTGGTGACACTGTACTGCTAGGGTGACAGTATGTAAAAAAAATAAAAATAAAAATAATATAAAAAAAAAAAATAAAAATGTAAAAAAAATGTTTAAAAATTATAATTTTTGGTTATAAACTAATTTTGTATTTTTTTTTTTACCAAAAAGATAACTGAATAAATTTTGGCAAAGATTTATGATGAAATATTATTTATTTGCAAAATTTTATTAAAAAAAACACACTTTTTTTTTTTCAAAATTTTTGGACTTTTTCATTTAAATAGCAAAAAAAATAAAAATCCAAGTGGTGAATAATTACCACCAAAATAAAGCTTTATCTGTCTCAAAAAAATGGTAAAAAATTCATTTGGGTACAGTGTTGCATGACCGCGCAATTGTCATTCAAAGTGTGATAGCGCTGAAAGCTGAAAATTGCCCTGGTGAGGAAGGGGGGGAAAGTGTCCGGACTGGAAGTGGTTAAGGACCGCCCTATAGAAGATATACTGCTACAGGGCGGCACCTGTGTACAAAGTCACATGATTTTGCATTTTTAGGTAGGGGGCGTGCACCCTACCCACGCCGCCATTCACGGCCGTGGATGTCAATTACCAGGTCATTACCTGCCGGTGCCCAGTGATTACCGACAATCCTCTCTCTTAGATTGTAAGCTCCCTGGATCAGGGCCCTCCTATCTCCCTTGTATTGAACTGTATTGTTGCTGTATTGTCTCCTGTTATATTGTAAAGCGCTGAGCAAACTGTTGGCGCCATATAAATCCTGTATAATAATAATTACCGATGGGAAGGAACATTGTTTTGTTTACAAACAGTCCTCCTCCCTGTCAGCTCCGGCACACTGCACAACACAGCCATCCCAATCAGTGTGATTACAGTGAAGCACAACCTCCCCACCCCCTAGTAAAACACACCCAGCACACAGTTTGATTTATGTATCTGTTTTGCAGAGCCTATCATGTTTCCAGTGGGAAGATCCTGGCTGTGAAGGTAAGAGATTCCCATCTGATAAAGCTGAAAAGTTTTACGTGTTGTATGCTGTGTATGTCATGACCTTGGGTTAGAGAAATCTGTTGGCAGTATCCTTAAAGTGGAACTCCAGCCTCACGTTTTCTTCAGTCAGGGATGACCGCTAAAGCTGGTGGTTTACTGCAAGTGATTCTCCTCTGATACCTCTTCTGCTTTTTGCAATCTGCTTCAACCCACTGCCACAGATTTACTTTTGTCCAAACCACTTCCAGAGTCATCCAGGATTGTCATCAGCAGCCGGATTGTTATTTACACCCCACCACCCTAAATCAACATTCAGGTGACACCACTCATGGGTGTTACATTCAGGGATCTGATGAATGATTTATATGACTTGTGCTCTTGGCGCCAACATATAGCCAATCGCAAGTGCTGGGCCCCTTTTAGTTACAGCCCTCTTTTAGTGATGTCAAGGGTCAGTCAGGGCCCAGTTATAAGATAGGTTGGGAGGATCCCTAGTACAGTTGGGGCATGGGAGCCAGAGACCCCACCATTAAGCAGGTGTAGCCAGCAAGTTGAGGTCATAAAACAGGGCTGGAAGATGGGGCGAAGTAGACCTGCATCCTGAAGAGCCTATTGTAGACTTCCTGACCCTTATGGAGGTGGGGGCTAGGGCAGGTTGCAAAAGGAATTTCAGGCCAGGCCAAAGGTTTTCTGGAGTGAAGCTCTCCCCCTGGAGGGTCTCGGGAAATGTGTATGGAGGAAGTGATGGCAGAAATCTCATCTCAATGAGCACTGATTGCCCTGGGTGGATAGAGACTGTTTAAAGGAGGATAGCTTTCTGAAAGTGCTGCATGATGCTTTCACATGTGACTATTGCGGAACGTCCACTAAATGTGACTGATGATAGACTGTCAAGTGACCCTGGATAGTATGTCGATGTGATGTCATTGTTTGTGCCATCTTCCAAGTACCACTAGTAAAGTACAGCAACCCTACCGTTGTGTAGGCAATCCTTCCTTTGGGGATATATTAGTTAGTGGCCATGAATGTCGGGAGAAGGCCTCTGGCATGGAGTGGGCACAATTTGGCAGAGGGTTACAGCCTCAGTAGGAGGGTCACTGTTCTACCAGGAGAGGGTTGGGGTGGGGACTTGTGCTCTTGGCACCAACATATAGCCAATCGCAAGCCCCTCTTGCATGCTGCTTGTGAGAAACTTATATAGTCTAGCAGCGTACAGAAACTGATTTTTTTTTGTGCTGTGGCCCCTGCTTATATGGCGAAGGTTAGAGTTTAAATCAGTGGCCCTTTGCTTGCCTTTAGATACTTTGGGGCACTGTTCCTACCACTGATACAAGGCACTATTCCTTCCAGTGCCACCAATAATGGGGCATAGTTCCTCCCACTGATATAAATAATTGGGCACTATTCCTCCGACTGACGCCAATGATGGGGCACAATTCCTCCAAGTAATACCAGTGTTGGGCCACTC